TGGTAGAGTCTACAGGGTTCTCTATGTACACTCTCATGTCATCTGCAAACAAGGATAGTTTTACTTCCTCCTTTCGTATTTGGATGCCTTTTATATCTTTCTCTTGTCTGACCTCTGTGGCTAGGACTTCCAATACGATGTTGAAAAGAAGCGGTGAGAGCGGACATCCTTGTCGTGTTCCCATTCTTAGTGGGAAAGCTTTCAGTTTTTGCCCGTTGAGTATGATATTAGCTGTAGGTTTTTCATATATGGCCTTTATTATGTTGAGGAATGCCCCATTTATTCCCATTTTGCTGAGTGTTTTGATCATAAATGGGTGCTGTACCTTGTCAAATGCTTTTTCTGCATCTATCGAAATGATCATGTGGTTTTTGTCCTTTCTTTTATTTATGTGATGTATCACGTTTACTGATTTGCGTATATTGAACCATCCCTGCATCCCTGGGATGAATCCCACTTGATCGTGGTGGATAATCTTTTCAATGTATTCCTGGATGTGGTTTGCCAATATTTTGTTGAGGATTTTAGCATCTATGTTCATCAGCGAAATTGGCCTGTAGTTTCCTCTCTTTGTAGTGTCTTTATCTGCTTTTGGGATCAGGGTGATGCTGGCCTCATAGAAGGAGTCTGAAAGATTTCCTTCTTCTTCGATTTTTTGGAATAGTCTGAGAAGGACAGGGGTTAGCTCTTCCTTAAATGTTTTGTAAAATTCTCCTGGGAAACCGTCTGGCCCTGGACTTTTGTGTGCTGGGAGTTTCTTGATTACTGCTTCAATTTCCCCAACTGTTATCGGTCTGTTCAAGCTTTCTGTTTCTTCCTCCTTCAGTGTTGGAAGATTATACTTTTCTAAAAATTTGTCCATTTCATCAAGATTTTCAAATTTTTTGGCATATAATTGTTCATAGTAGTTTCTGATGATCATTTGTATTCCTGTGGTATCAGTTGTTATTTCTCATCTTTCATTTCTGATATTATTAATTTGGGTCCTCTCTCTTTTTTTCTTGATGAGTCTGCTCAAAGGCTTGTCAATTTTATTGATCTTTTCAAGGAACCAGCTTCTGGATTGGTTGATTCTCTGAATTGTTCTTTTTGTCTCTGTGTCATTCAGTTCTGCTCTAATCTTGACTATTTCCTTCCTTCTCCTTGCTCTGGGATTTACTTGTTGTTGTTTCTCCAGTTCTTGAAGTTGTAGCGTTAGGTCTTTTATTTGAAATGTTTCTATCTTTTTAAGGTAAGCCTGTATTGCTATGAACTTCCCTCTCAGGACCGCCTTTGCTGGGTCCCATAGATTTTGGACAGTTATCTGTTCATTTTCATTTCTTTCCAGACATTTTTTGATTTCTTCTCTTATCTCATTATTGACCCATTCATTGTTTAATAGTCTACTGTTCAGTCTCCATGAGTTTGCAAGTTTTTGAAGTTTCTCTTTGAGGCTGATTTCGAGTTTCAAGGCCTTGTGGTCTGAGAAAAAGTTTGGTACTATTTCAATGTTCCTGAAGTTGCTGAGGCTTGCTTGTGTCCTATCATGTGGTCTATCTTTGAAAAACTGCCATGAGCATTTGAAAAGAATGTGTATTTTTCTTCTTTGGGATGTAAGGTTTTCTATATGTCAGTTAAGTCTCTTTGATTCAGTGTGTCATTCAGCACCACAATATGTTTATTAATGTTTTGTTTGGAAGATCTGTCCATTTTTGACAGTGGGGTGTTGAAATCCCCTACTATCAGTGTGTTGCTGTCTATATCTTTTTTGAAGTCATCCAACAATTTCCTTATTAACTTGGGGGCTCCTATATTGGGAGCATATAAGTTTACAATGTTGATGTCTTCTTGATAGATTCTTCCTTTAAGTATGATAAAGTGCCCCTCTGGGTCTCTCTTTATGGCCTTTCCTTTGAAATCTACTTTGTCTGATTCAAGTATGGCAATGCCAGCCTTTTTCTCATGCCCATTTGCTTGGAATATTATTTTCCATCCCTTTACTTTCAATCTGTGTAGGTCTCTTGCTCTACATTGGGTCTCTTATAGGCAGCATCTGTGTGGGTCATGTTTTCTTATCCATTCAGCTACCCTGTGTCTTTTGATTGGGGCATTCAGTCCATTCACATTGAGAGATATTACTGATAGAAACTTACTCATCTTTTCTCTTTGTACTTGTGTTCCTCTCTGTCTCATTCTTTTCCTTCATCTGCTTAAACTAGTCCCCTTAGCATATCTTGGAGTGCTGGTTTGGTAGAGATGTATTCTTTTAGCTTTCTTTTCTCTGGGAAACTCCATATTTCTCCTTCTATTTTAATGGAGAGCCTAGCTGGGTAGAGCAGCCTTGACTGTAGGCCCTTGCTTTTCATGGCTTGGAATATTTGTTGCCATTCCCTTCTGGCTTGTAGTGTTTCTGTTGAGAAGTCAGCTCCTAGGCGTATCGGGGCCCCCTTGTATGTTACTTTCTCCTTCTCCCTTGCTGCCTTGAGGATTCTCTCTTTGTCTTTGACATTTGCCATTTTAATGATGATGTGTCTTGGAGTGGACCTCCTTGTGTCCCTCTTGAGTGGGGTCCTCTGTGCCTCCTGGATCCATGAGAGCCTTTCTCTCCTCAAATTCAGGACATTTTCCATCATTACTTTTTCAAGGAGGTTCTCTATTCCTTGCTCCTCTTCTTCTCCTTCTGGTAATCCTATTATATGGATATTACTGCGTTTCAGGTTGTCCTGCATTTCCCTAAATGCTTCTTCATTCTTTTAGAGCCGTTTTTCCATTTCTTGTTCTTTCTAGGAGCTTTTTTCTACCTTGTCCTCCATCTCACTGATTCGATCCTCGTCTTCATCCAGCCTGCTTTGGATTCCTTCTACTGTGTTCTTCAATTCAGAAATGGTATTCTTCATACCCTCTTGTGTCTTCTTGATAGTTTCTATATCCTTTTCCAGGCTGATATAGTTTGCTGTAAGATCCTGATAGTTTCTCTGCAGTTTCTCATAGTTCTCTTTGAGCTGGCTGAGCTCATTGAGCTTCCTTAGAACCATTGTTTTGAATTCCATATCTGATAGTTCCCTTGCCTCTATTTCATTTAGCTCTCTCTGTGGGGAGTCCCCTTTTCCACTCATTTGAGGGGAACTTCTTTTTCTTCCCATTTTTGTGAGAGTCTGTTAAGTATTTTTGTCCTTTACTTTTCTTTCTGGGCTTGTCTCTGATGATGTCCATTGTTGACCCTATAGGGGCTTGTGTTGTTTGTTTGAGCCTTTCAGGAGTCTAATGCCTGTGTCTGACTCCTGCTTGGAGCAGCTCTGTGACCCTTTCGGTCAGGGCTGGGCTATTTTTGGGGATCTCTCTGCGCTCTCACGCGGGCTCCTTGAGCAGGTTCCCAGCACGGCAGAGTCCCCCACCTGCCTGGGCTCGCATGTGCTTGCCCCAGACCAGGGGGCTTATTCGCGACCTTGCGTACTCATCTGGCCCCCCTGGCACGCGAGCTTCACGGCACTGGTCAGTTTAGGGCCTTCTATTGTGTATTTTCCCCGCTTTTGGCTCTTTGGGTGTGTTGCTTGCCCTCGCGAAATGGGTACTACAGAAATGCTAGGAACTCAGCTCCAGGACTCTCCGGTTAATCCTGTTTCTGGTCTCTCCTCCAGGGACTCTGGGCAGCTCTACTAATTTTGTGGGCCGCTCCGCAATCGCGGCGGGTAGGTCAATTTACGTCTGTCCTTGCTGCTCTGTGCACTCCCTCGCAGGCCGTATGGGTGACAGTCTGTGTGAGGCCTTGCTGGCCGTTGCAAGCATTAGCCAGCCCGCGTGGGTCACACACACGCTCGCCAACCCTCGCCGGTCACTTGGCGCAAGTGTGCGAGCCTGCTCTGGGTGTTTTGGGGTTGTCTATGTGTGCTTCTCAGCTTTTGACTCTTTGGGGGTGTGGCCTCTTCCCACGCAATGGAGACTACGGCAAGGAGAAGGAGTTGGGACTCCTTGGTTCCTCCTCCCCTTCCTTCCCCAATGCCTCTGTTTCTTGTCTCCCCTCAGGGGCTTCTGGGCAGTTCTGTGACCCCTTCGGCCAAAGATCCACCCCCTGTGCGGACTGCATTTCAATCGCAGGCAGTCTGGTTCATGCGCACCCCGCTTCTGCCTCTTTGGGGTCGCGCCTTTCCAGCCCACAATGGAAACTACCGAACGGCGAGGGTGTCGGGACTCCCCGGTTCCTCCTCCCGTTCTTTCCCCAACGCCTCCGTCTCCAGTCTCTCCTCAAGGCTCTCCCAGCCAGTCTGCACTCAGCCCCGCAGCTCACAGGCATGCAATCTGTGTGCGGAGCACACAAAAGGCAGGTTAATTGATTCCCTTATGCCTGAGCGCGATGGTAGCTGCAGAGTGCGAAGTGCATTATCACCCGGGCTCCACCAGCCACTGTGTCAGTTCTCTTCACAAAGTTTTCCTCACCAGTCTTTTCCCAGGCACCAGCCCACCCTGCTGCCGCCTCTACCCAGTGATCAAGGAGGGTGGCTGCCACTGCAACTTTTGCATTTGCCCTTTAAATGTCTTTTTGCATCCCCAGCCACCTGTCTCTGGCAGAGAGCGCCCCTAAGCTTTTTGGGGTTGCGTTTTGTCTGTATTTTCTTGGCTTTAGCTGTTGTAGTTTAGGGGTTCCTGTTTATGATTCAGACCCCGTTCTTCTTGGGGGGAGCTAACTGGCCCTTTCAATGTCCCTCTGGTGCCAGTGCCCGTGGGCACCCAGCCCACCCTCTCGAGCCTCCACCGCAATTCTCACCCATTGGGATGTGTGAGAGTAGAATCCACTGTCCGCGCACCAAGGCTCCTCTCCCACTATCGCTCCACTGCTTTCCAGGTGATTACTCCATTATTTAGTTGCAATTCCAGTTTGGTTTTGGGAGGAGGTCAGTGTGACTCCCTTTCACTCCTCCGCCATATTCTCCCCTTTAGAATAATTATAATTTCATATTTATTTTTGACAGATTTTGGTGGTTGGGGGAGTGAGACTGGTGACAAAGCATTCTTCTCTCTCACAGCCTTCTGACAGCAGCAGGAGGAAACCACTGAACAGTCAACGTGGTAGCTCATGGCTTCATTCACCCTTTGACTCTGGACAAGAAGACCTTCCAAGAAATTCTGGTGCATTATCCAGATTCTGAAAAGCTCCTCATGAAGAAAGCCAGGTACCACCTTCAAAACCTCATTTGAGAAGAGTCAGTTTTACTTTGTAACATCCAGGAGAAAAATTATACGGTGATGGCAGTTGTCAGCTTTCTCTATGACACACATTTAACAACTGCTGTGCATCTGTGCATGGAGAACTTCACAGATAAGGAGGAATGCCAGTATTTGCGAGAGATGTGTCCAGAACTCTACCAGTGCTCTCACACAGCCTTTCTCTCTGTCCACAGAAGCCTGTGGCTGGAGCTTCTCAAGAAGAAGGCTCCAGCCACAGGGGCAACCTCATCAACAAAAGGACTTGCCTTCCTCTTTCCACCAAAACCAGAGACACCCAAAGTGTTCAAAGCTCTCGTGGGAAGCACAAGCAGAACCAGCCTTGCACAACTGCTCAGACTGAAGAGAGAGCCAACCACTCAAGTGAGTAGGGAGAATGGAGGCTGTAATCCGGCAGTCCTCAACCTCCAGGCCATGGACTTGTACCCATCGGGGGCTGTTAGGAACCATATTGCACAGCAGGAGGTGAGCTTGAATGTAATGCACTTGAATCATCCTGAAACCATCGCCTCTACCCCAGACCATGGAAAAATTGTCTTCCATGAAACCAGTCCTTGGTGCCAAAAAGGCTGGGGACTGCTGATCCATTAATCTTCACAGGTCTATTACAGATGTTCTTAATGTATATATAAATACAATTGACCCTCATTGTTTGTGGATTCTATATTTGCAAATCTGCCTGGTCACTACTGGTTACTGTAACCCCAAAACTAATACTCATGGTGCTTCTGTGGTCATTTGCAGACTATACATGTATAGGGGAGAAAACATCTAAGTTGCCTGGTATACATTTCCAGTAGACCTACAGCAGCTCTCACACTACACAAGTGACACTTCATGTCTATTTAAGTGCTTTGTTTTTTGAATTTATGTGCTTTTATCCCTGTGTTGAAATCAGCCCCCAAGCACAATGCTGAAGTGCTATCTAGTGCTCCTAAGTGCAAAAATGCTCTCATGTGCATCTCGGAGAAAATCTGTGGGTTAGGTGACCTTCATACAGGCATCAGCTGTGGTGCTACTGGCCATGACTTCAATGTGATGAATCAACAATTCTATTAAATAAGTGCCTCTAAACAGAAATACACATAAAACAAGGTTACATATTGATCGGTTGACAAAAATACACATAAAACAAGGTTACATATTGATCGGTTGACAAAAATGTTGTGGCTCCTAGGAACCTAACCTGCATTCCCCCAAGGGCCATAGGTCAGGGTTTTCTGATTCAGCATTCATGGTAGCACTGAGACAAAAGCACTGTGGATAAGGAGAGTCAAGCACATGTGAATAAACAAACATACAGCTGTAAATATGTATGTAATACATTTTACCAACAGGCTAATGAACAAACGTCCAAGCCAGAGTAACCTCATAGATTTCATCAAAGCCCTTCATGTTATAGACGAAGAAACTGAGATCCAGATCAACATGTTTGATGAGATGACAATTGGTGACAATAAAACTACTATTCCTCAGGTAGTCAGACGTCTGGGCCTAAACATGCTATCTCCCATTTCCTAGAAATGTCAAGAAAGTCAAATGTTACCATTGTTTGCTTTTTTTTTCATTGTTCTTTGATTCTCATAATAAGCCTATGAGGGCAGATACTGAAAAATAGAGCAGGGTTTCACGTGTTCTGAATCTCATCATTATGTTATCTTTATAACTGAAGGAATGGGTAGATGTGGCTCCTGCAGAAAATTGGTAAGACAAATAAAAGGTCAGTCACACACGAGAGACTAAAATATGCCTCTTCCTCTTCCACGTGACCCACTATGGTGAAAAGTAGGGGTATAGTGTAAACCCAACATCTCATTTAATTAGTGTGGACCCAATAATTTGTGTAAAGACTTATGGGGTAAAGAGATCGGTAAGTCACTGTGTAAGGAAAGTTCTGCAATTCATACAGGTACCTTAACAGCTGGTACAAGTCTCTCACAGTATCACAGTGAAGATCGTAGTGTGTTTTTTCACTATGAAAATTCTACAGCTGATCCTAAATACAACAGGTTCTAAAACTATAGCTCAGGCATCTGTGGGAGGAATGGAGATGATTGTAGAGGAAGGGATATGAGTTTCTCCCTCAGGCTCTGCCATCATCTTATGCAAAAGGAAAACCACACTTTCTATAGTATTTTATGGTATTTGGCTAATACTTTTCTTTAAAAAATAAATATTTAAAATGTTATCTCTATAAAATAAATAAGTAAATATTTTAAAAATGAAGAGTCTTGAGCACCTAACTTAGGGAGAATGAGGACCAACAGGAAGAGAATCCTGGGTAGAGACAAAAGCACAGTCCAGCTCACCCTGAGAGCCAGACATGGAGCTGAGCCCCACTCTCTGGCACATCAGAAAGCTCAGCCAAATGACAGTGCATGCAAGGCAGACATGATGCCTTTCTTAACCGAATTCAGACTGTCCCTGCCTTGATGGTCATCCTTAGCTTTCATATAGTAATTGAAAGACTCCAGTGTCTTTGGTTATGGTTTCAATACGAATTCTTTGCAACTGTTTCTTCCAAAAAATAGTGAGGATTCCAGAGGAGGAGAGGGTAGAGAACAGGGACATAAAGATGTAGGAAGAGGGCCGGCAGAGAGGCCCCCAGACAGATCCAGACACAGAACAGGATCTGTCCCAGCAGGGAAAGGTCCCAGCAGATTAGAAGGGCAGCATCACCCAGAGGAAACCTCAGTCAATCTCTCATCATCAGCATGGCTCCTTCTGCTGACACCAGGGAAGAGTTGCTGACAATTGAAGTCAAAGGAAAGATTCAGCATTAAATGTCTGATTACCTTCGATGTAATCACACTGGTTCCCAGAGACATTGTACCCCATATGGTGGCTTTCATTCACAAGGGGGAAAGACCTGGATGGGACCCTGAGAAGCCTCAAGCCAATCTTGGGCTTTGTTTCTAGAACTTAAGAGTGTTTTATGTGGTGGTAACAAGAAGATTATTAAGAAACCATCCCTATTATCTGTTGTCAATAGCTTCATGCAGTTAGTATTTCTCCTAATTGTATGTAGTAGGTTTTTCTGCTCCTTTTGAAGCAGAAAACGTCTTGAAGATGTTTCTTCCCTTCACTTGATTAGCTTATTCTTGGCTCTGACTCACTAACCTTTAATTTTAAGAATATTTTTTTTGTGTGTTAAAGCCTTGTATGGTGCTACTAGTATCTGTTAAATGTTCTACGTATATGAATATTACCTCCTGCAGGGAAGCAGAGATACTGGGGGGCCCGTGAGTGTGAGCTGCCCCTGCAGAACCACCCAGGAAGCAGTCTGCTTCAGTGACCAGGCTCAGCTGACTCAAATGGGAGAAATCAGATTATCTCCAACTTCTTGGCAGCAAAAGGGACATTTCTCAGAATGTTTCTCAAGCATTTACCTCAAAATGTGCCAGATTTGATCTTCAGCATTAGAGAAAAGCAATAAGGGTAGGAAGACAGACTGTACACATGTCAGACTGACATAGCCCTACAATTTGTGAAACCTACATGTATAGATGTTTATAAAGCTCCAAGTTAATAAGGTGCACTTGAGGAAGTTATCGTCATAAGTCAAATAGCATTAACATAATTATTAGAGTCTCGTGCTGTGAGGAGCCTAAGAAGCCAAGCTGATATTGGAAGAAATAACACATATACAATTCCATTCTAACAAATGCCATTAGTGTACAACATTAAGTTCTGTATAATAAGTCCATTTCCAAGCCCCAGAAAATGGTCACTGAATAGCACTTTGCTGAGAGGGCTTTGATAAATTCTATTAGCCAGAATGCCGAAAACATAGAATCATTTAGTAAACCATGTATATATCAATCACTATAGTAAAATGTAGCATTTAGAAGAATCACCATTTTTTAATCTTGTGTTAGACTATCACAAAAACATGGTAAGTTATACAAAAGTTTGGTTGGTGTTTTCAGGGTTTAAGCAAGGGTGTCCAACCTTTTGGCATCTCTGGGTCCCACTGGAAGGATAAGTGCTGTCTTAGGCAACACATTAAATACATTGCAACATGTAATTACAAAAAAATCTCATAACATTTTAAGTAAATTTAGAATTTTGGGGACTTCCAGCCAAGATGGAGGCGTAGGTAGGTACAGTTTGCCTCCTCCTAAAACCAAAAGGACAACAACAAACTTAAAAGTAAAAAATAACCAGAAATACCAGAAAATCAAACTGTATGGAAGTCTGACAACCAAGAAGTTAAAGAAGAAACATTCATCTAGACTGGTAGGAGGGGCCGAGGCAGGCAGCCGGGTAGGAGAAGATGTGGGGCAAGGCAGCGGCTGGCGGTCTGGGAGGCCCAACATTTGCATGCGGATAAACCAGAGGAAGAGCTGGGGAGCGAGACAGACTACATAATCCAGGGTTCCAGTGAGGGAAAATAAGGCCTCAAAACCTCTGGCTGAAAACATCTGTGGGGGTTGCAGTGGCAGGAGAAATTCCCAGCCTCACAAGAGGGGTCGTTGGAGAGACCTATGGGGTCCTAGAATATACACAAACACACTCACCTGAGAATCCGCACCAGAATGGCCCAATTTGCTTGTGGGTAGTGGGGGAAGTGACTGAAAGCTGGCCAAGAGCAGAGCAAGCGGCCTTGTGCCCTCTCGGACCCCTCCCCCACATACAGCATCACAACTCAGCAACCTGGGTTGCCCCACCCTGGCAAATACCTAAGGCTCTGCCCCTTCCAATGTAACAGGCATGCTGAGACAAACAAATACAGCCCAAATGAAAGAACAGATCAAAGCTCCAAAAATAGAATTAAGCAATGAACAGATAGCTAACCTATCAGATGCGCAGTTCAAAACACTGGTAATCTGTATGCCCAATGAATTGGTTGAGTATGGTCGAAAAATGGAGGAAAACGCGAAGGCAATACAAAGAGAAATTTTTTAAAAAGTACAAGGAACCAACAGTAAAGGGAAGGAAACCAGGACTCACATCAATGATTTGGAACAGAGGGAAGAGATAAACATTCAACCAGAACAGAATGAAAAAACAAGAACTTAAAAAAATGAGCAGAGGCTTGGGAACCTCTGGGACAATTTTAAACGTTCCAACGTCCAAATCATTGTGGTGCCAGAAGGAGGAAATGAAGAGCAAGAAATTGAAAACTTATTGGAAAAAATAATGAAGGACAACTTCCCTGATCTGGCCAAGGAAATAGACTTCCAGGAGATCCAGGAAGCTCAGAGTCCCAAAGAAGTTGGATCCAAGGAAGCACATACCAAGGCACATCATAATTACACTACCCAAGGTTAAAGATAAGGAGAGAATCTTAGAAGCAGCAAGAGAAAAGAGGAAAGTTACCTACAAAGTAGTTCCCATAAGACTATCAGCTAACTTCTCAAAAGAAACCTCACAGGCAAGGAGGAGCTGGAAAGAAGTATTCAAAGTCCTGAAAGACAAGGACTACATCCAAAATTACTCTATCAAGCAAAGCTATCATTTAG